ATGTCCAACCTATATTATTGTAAAACCTATTCGGGTAAGATAACCGCAAGTGAATGCAACTATTAGAGAAAGCGACCTGTAAACATAATAACCATAACGTGAAAACTGAAACTGCTGACTAGAAAACCGATGCAATAAGAGGACGGCAGAAAATACATCGGTTGAAAATGACTGGTGAAGAAAAACGACGTGGTAGATGTCACATTTTTTACAAATAGTACACAAAACGATATAGCAATGGTAAAATACAGATCTGGCAGTTTCGATATTCGACAGAACTTGACTAAAAGATTTCTGTCAGAAGTTTTCTGATCCATTCGTTGCATGCTATAAAACGGTTCAAATCATATGGCTTTATGTCAAAGATTAAATATGCTTGGAAAAATGAATAATATTCTTGTTGTTGTAACTGTTGGCTTCCGAATAACGTGTTTAAACTTCGAACTCTTTCATGCCCATAATATTGGATGCAATGATCTTTTCCTGTACCTGTGAATCGGTCTGCATTTCTGAGGATATTTTTTTACTTACTCAGATAAAGGAAACTGTGGAATGGTTTGAAATGTCAGTTTAAAATGAATTTATTCGCCTAATTCTTATCTCACAATTTATATTTGTAGCTGGTTTGTTTAGGTAACTTCTTGACTGATTTACTGACACCGTATGAGTTTGAATGTCCGATTATTTTGTTAAATCATGAAGAATTTAGAAATTAATTTTTTGTAAGAAACTGTGCTACTGGGTTTGAGATACATTCACCGCCGATTTCCGGCTCATATTCACAGCACTGACCTGACAGATCCATTCGATGCCATTTCTCAACGAACGCTCAAAGCTGTCCAAATTCACAATGTCGAATATGTTCACTTCGCCCGTGTCAGTCAGTTCACCGTCCGTTGCCATGTATTTCGTCAAGCAACGGCTTACATCTGCTCTGCGACTGCAGTCGACAGCGGTTGAGCTCGCAGGCTCCAGCTTAGACACAAAAAAGTCCGATCAGTCATGTAAACAAATAAGGAAGCAATTTGAAATTGTTCGGGCTTGATGGAGCAATGGATTTTTCGTTTCAACTATAGTTTGCACGTTTTAAAGAACGGGATGGGAATGTAATGTGATTGGTTTTGGTTTCTATCGGTTTCTCAAGTTGTTCAGTAAGCCCTTGGACAGGTTTTGATACGGACGACGGAACGGATCATGATTGTAGATAATCAGTTTGAAGAGCGTCAGATAACGACGATACGAAACGATTTTTCAGATAACATGTCAGTACAAGGCAGAGATCACATGCAAATCAATCTACCAAAAATAAATAAACCTCCATATTACGGGTTTGCAAGCAAACTGCTAGTTTTCAATTCCACTGGTAATTGTAATATTACCCTGTCATTTCTCGGGATTTACACGACATTTCACACCGTACTTCTACATCTAATAGCGTATGGGAAGCGAATAAGAACGCCACCCAGTAGTAGTGATATTTATCTATGATATATATGCCTATGGAATGAGGTATATTCGTTGGTAGTCGAATATGCTTTAATTTGACGTAACAAATAATACACATTCAGCTGATGGGGTAAAATACAAATTTGGTTACAACGCCAGGCGTGATGCCTTGGTCGCCAACAGTTGCGACTATGTAAGGAGCAGGCAAACGCACCGTTGGCGAGTCAATTGTCTAGCTTACACTGAACATAGACGTCTGGGTCGAAAACTCGTTACAGTCGTGTGTTATTACTTAGGATCTACTGCTCAAATAAAATCCCATGATCTATCAGCTTAAAATTATTCACTGCACGAATGATTATTATTCACATGAATGCATTACTCCCTCAAACCTGGTTTTCTTTCTTTTTCCCACTTATTCGTAGTTACCCCGAGGCTCTGAATTACAACACATTTCATTTCATCTAACACCTTTCACTGGCTAAAGTGCTAGCACATATCTCGTCATCAGTGACAGTGTGAACCCATCAGTCAGTTTACGATTCTTGCCGCAGAGCAGGCTGTTCAGAGCATAACTCGTCGAAACGTGGATTTCACGGCGTGGTACATCTTTCACTTTCTCATAATTGCTTACGAGGACATTTTATGAACGCAGAAAAGAAGTGTACCGAGTCACGAAATGCTGCTGGTTTTGCAAGGTATTGTTCCATGAATTAAGATAATTAGAACAAATCCAGGTAGTGCAAGGACTCGCTTGGCTGCAGCCACGATCTGTTTAAATAGTCACTTGCAGCAACGGATTGAGAAATGTTGAGGAGGAGTCGTACACTCATCAACTACTGTTACTCACGATGATTTATCTTGTATTCATTTTAGCATTTCAGTTAATTTTATGAACTCACATGGCCCGTATGTAGAAAGCTTTTATGCACAAAAAATTTATGATTCATCTCAGCTGCGAACTGCGTCCGATGGATTTGGAAATATTCAGACTGAGGCACTAGGGAGCGATGGCACATGCCGGTTCTCACAGAGGCGAACACAGGTGAAGATTGAGTTTTCAAAGAGCGACAATAGTATCAGGGCACGTAGGCTGTAGCTTTTTGAGTAAATAAACTTACATATCTAGAGTTTCGTCGACGACTTCCGCCAGACGACCAATATTCAATTACTGAATAGTAGTTCCGAGCTTATAGGAAGCTTTTTATGAAAAAAAACAGAAAAACAGTGGTCAAACT